TCGCGTTCTTTGCAGTGCAGGGTCACGCCGAGCGCGGCGCCGATACAATGATAAATATCGCAAGGCGCGCAAGGCGAGGCAACTTGCGACAAGTTGTTAGTCGGAGTGGACTTGGAGCCTTCGGGCGGCGCCGTGTGAAATATCACCGCGATTACAAGCAGCACATTCTCTCTGATTTTTGTTTCGCTTCATCGACGGCGACGCACGGCCGCCGCGCCGACCGGCCCAGCAGGAGCGGGGCGCTGGGCCCAGCAGCCAGCGACTCCAAATTGATGGGACTTGAATTGCGCGCGGAGCAGTGCCGACTCACTTCCAAAAGCCGCTCGGGAGTGGCGGCCAGTGGCGGCCAGTCGATAAATTTGCCTCGGACTCCGTGGCGAGTCCGCAAGTCCGCCGCCAATCCGCGCAAGAAGAAAGGGAGCCGAGCAAACATCGGAACAAGGCGAGGAGCAGCCCGTCACTCCGTCACGCGACGGACGCATATCGAGCGCTCTCTGTCTCTCTCGCGCCTGCGAGGGACGCCCCACGAGTGCGAGAGAGACAGAGCGGCGTGCGGCATCAGTCAGCTGCCCCGACACCCGGCAAGCCTAGGAAGCCTGCGGCAGTCTGCGGCAGCCTTGGACTCGCGCCGCGCGACCCTCTGGTCCTCCGGTCAGGGAAAACAAGCATGTGCGCGGAAGCAGCTTACCGCCGTCAGGCCGGGCGGGGCGCGGCGGGGCGGGGCGGGGCGGGGTGGGGCGGGGCGGGGCGGGGGCCACTCTAGGTGGCGTAAGCAGGGGGTATTTGCAGAGCAAGGTGGTCCCTGCCAGCCGCGCACAGTAGTTTGTCTTCGCGAAGCCGTCCTCCTCTGTCCGTCTTGCGTCGGCCGTCTTGCACTGTCCTTCTCCCACTGTCCGGGGTTTTCGATTTTTTTCCGATTCTCCGATTTTTCCCTGAGTCAGTCTCACAGTCTCGCCGGTACGGGAGCACGGGGCGAAAACAAGGTCGCTCGGCGCGGAGCGGCCGGAGGCTGCGGAGCGACGCTCAGTGGCCTTTGGACACAGAAAAGCGAACGTGTTTTTCGCGTCGTCTTTACATCTTCCCTTTTGAATGGTGATTGTAAACACAAGTTGGCGCTCCGCAGCGCTCTAGTCCGCAGACTTCGCAGAGGGAGCTGGGGAGAGCGCCTGTGAAACGGAGGGTAGGCAACACGGCAGCTCGCGCGCGTGGCGGGCCGGCCTACCCGCCGTGCCGCAGGCGTTGCAGGGCGTTGCAGGGCGTTGCAGGGCGCCGAGGCGATCCCGGAGTCGTCCCTTCGCTGTCTCTCTCGCACACTACGGGCCGCCTTATGAGTGCGACAGCGACAGAGCGACGAAACGACTCTTGAGAATCAGCGTGCAGGCAGTGCCTCTCTCGCCGCTGCTCCCCCAGCGGACGGTCGGACGGGCCGCCCGTGTTTGAACAGATGGTCGTCATTTTTAAGTCCCCTCCTTCGGCCCTCCCAGTGGGCCCGGAGCAAACCATTTCGATCCAGCGACGCGCGCGACGACTCGGGGCAGCGCACGAGAGAGAGAGAGAGAGAGAGAGAAGAGAGAGAGAGAAAGAGAGAGAAGAGAGAGAGAGAAGAGAGAGAGAGAGAGAGGAGAGAAGAGAGAGAGAGAGAGAAGAGAGAGAGCTGAGACCGTCGCGGACACGCCAGGACGATACTCCAACAAACTTAAAAACTGGCTTCCGAAGACTGTCACAGTTATCGTTAAGAGCGAGGGTCTTGGACACTTTTGTCGCCTCGCCGGGGGAGAGACCATTGCCGCTCATTGGGAGCGGATACGTCCCTCGGGCTCCGACAACTTGTGCGGCCGCCGGGCAACATGTCCGACAGGATTTGTGATTGTCGGGGGGTCGAACGTCAACAGTTTGTTCCAGCCTACTGTGGGGAGCGCCTGATCCGAACCGATCCAAAACAAAAATGAACCAGTGTACGCCGCTCGAGCCAAGCAGCGCTAGCCCAGCTCGGGAACCACGCCGAGGACACATGCATATTGCTTTGGCCTCCCACCAAGGCTGGCTTTGATTGCATCTGTGATGCCCATCTGAGCCGGCAAAAAAATATGGCGATGCTTTATCAGAAGCGACCCGCTGCGCCGCGAGCCTTCTGGCAGCCCGGCCGCGTTGTCCGCTAAAATATTCAAAACATTCAAGGCCCTCGCCTCGGCGTGGCTCGGCAGAAATTCATCGTCGCGTTCCCGTTCCGCACCTATCTCGCGACACGGCGCGGCGTGGCAGGGCGGTGCCGGGCGTTGCCCTCCGCCTCAAACTCTCACCGCGCCTTTTGCCGTATTTGCACCTCCCCGTCAAAGGGAAACTTTGCTGGCCGGCGACGTAAAATAAGAGGCAAAGTGTGACATAATCGCGCTCGCGGCGGAATATAGTGGCGGCCGGGCCGCCGCCATCCTCGCGGAGGGTCGCGACCTCCAAGGCGCGGCGCGGGACTTGGCGCGGTGTAGTGTTGCGCGTGCTCAACCCCGCGAGAAGTTGGCGGACAGCCTGGCGGCCTGGCACACTGTGAAACAGAAGAGGCACAATCAGTGAGCGCGGCCTCTGTGAGTGTGTGAGTGGCTGGCTGTGTGGTCTTTCGGCCCGGCCGGCCTCGCCGAGGGCCTCGCCCGGACCCGGAATGTGGCGACTCGCCTGCTTGACGACAAGGGGCTGAAGCGGCGCGGCGGGCTCCCCAGGCGCCGCCCTTAGAAACTCTCCTTGCCTTCTTTCCCTTTCCGGCACAAGGGCGCCTCGCCTCGCCTCGCCTCATCCCTGCAGCGCCGCCGCGAATTTACCTGAACTAAACCTGAGGCGGTGCGGTCCCTCCGGGGCTGCTTTGTACGGCTGCCGAATTCCGTGCCGGGCCGCGCCGGGCCGCGCTGGGTACGTCGGCTTGGATGTACTGCGGGGCAAATCTCGGCTGCAGCCGCCCTTTGTGAAGTGACTCGGCGACTCCATTGGCGGGGCAGAGTGTGTCGTTCCGTCGCTCCGCCTCTGTCGCTCCGTCTCTCTCCTAGTGTGCGACAGACAGAGCGACGAACGTGGCGGGAGGCGAGACAATGCCTCACGTTTGACGTCAAAAGATGGCGTCGCCGTTTCATTAGCGCCCCGGAAATAACGCGTGGCGACTGCACAAGAGTTGTTTTCGTCGCTGTCTCTCTGGCACCGACACGGGACGCCTCACGAGTGGGAGCGAGACAGCGCGACGAAAACAACTCTCGGAATCAGTCCCCGCTGCTCGCTGTCCTCGGGCCGCGCTCGGGCCGCGCTCTGTCCCTCGCTGGCGCGCTGGCGCTCCGCGATGTGCTGCGCGGCGCCGCGTCGCGGGACGCAATGATCGCTGCTTTATGGTTGGCCCGCTGGACGCACTTACAGCAGCGCGGTCCGTAAAGATTGCTGAAACATTCACCACCCCATTACGCGGTTAATGTCGTAACTCGGCCGGCCTTGGCGGGTGGGCTGGCGGGGGGCTGCTGTGCTGACTGGGCCCGCCGGGTACAGACTGTACACGCACAAACAGACCGAGTCGGCGCAGAGATGACCGTGGTTCGGGCTGGAGTCGCACGAGTGTTGCTACCCAATGGGCTTCCCTTCAAGCGAGGAATCGATCTGTGCGTGGTTCGAAGCCTGCTTCAGGCGCACACGTGCTGCTCCGCGTTCTAGGGGACTGGCGCCCCGGCCAGCACGCGGCCCACTTTTGTCGGTGGCGGTACCTGCCCCCGGCGCCGCGTCGCCGCGTCCTCCTTGACAATTTTTCCTCTTCTTTCGCGGCCGGAAGTTTTGCACGGCGCCGCGCCGGGGGCCTCGGAGCCTGGCTGACGGCCTGACTGCCTGACGGTCGGCGGGCTGTCGAGGCGGAGACGTTATTGTTTGGCGGTGCGCGGCGGCGCGGCGGCAGCGCGGCCAGCCAGGCGCAGGCGAGGAGTAAGTGACGTGCCGCCGCCTCCAGCAGCGAAGCAGCCGCCAGCTGGGGACAGTCGAGCAAGAAACCATTAGCCGACGGAAAGTCGGGCCGCGTGCACTCCCACCGCCCCGGCCGGCTCGGCCTGCCCGGGTACAGGTGTCTGCCGGCCCGCTCCCCAGTTAGTGCCCGGGCGGCCCCGGCTGGCCCCGGCCAGGATGGTCCGGACTGATACCTGGGGCACGGAGTGATAAGAGGGCGTGGTAAACGCTGGCTGTAAAGCTGGCAAGACGGAGCGGGGCGGGGTAGCTTTAAGGGTCTACTACTGGGGTGGCGGCGGGGCGAATGTGAACGGAGGTCGCCGACGAGAGGTGGCCGATGAAAGGTAGCCGACGAGAGGTGGCTGGCGAGAGGTGGCCGACGAGAGGTTGCCGATGAGAGCTGGCCGACGAGAGCTGGCCGACGAGAGGTGGCCGACGCGCCGCGTCCCGCCTCCGGCACTGCGCCATGACTGCCGCGAAATAGGAAGGAGAGATTACGGCGGAGACGCGGTGGCCGCCCTAACGGGGCGGTAAACAAAAAGAACGAGGTCCGGGACGACGGCCCGGGTGACTTCCTCGCCGTGCTGCACCAAGTTGGGGCTCATCATTATGGCCGAGATGCAGTCCCTGAACGGCTTCATCCGGCTCGAGACGGCGGCGCGGCGCGGCACAGTTGCTCCCTGCTCCCTCTTCGTTTTGCAGCGACAACAATGCGGGGACCGGCGCTGCTCTCCGGAGTTCGGCCGAGTTTGGTACATAAATTAAATCGGCCGGTGCAGCGGGCAGGTGGGGCTGCAGCCGGGCTGGGAATCCGGAGCGCGGAGTGGGCCGCGGACTCGGGGAAGATTCGCTTGGAAAGCGATCTGTTTAGTCAAACATTGTCCGCACACACCGCTTCCTTATCCGCGAGCGTCTCTTTGCGAACGCGGAACCCTGTTCCAGCAAGCCGAGGCAGCCCGACCAGCGAATCGATCCCAGCCCGGCCCAGGCATGCACGCTGGCTAAGACTCTTTCTCTCTCTCTGTTCCAGGACAATGTGATGTGACAGTCGGGGTGCCATGCGGTCTGCGGTGCCTGAATGCCTATTGGCACGGCCCGTGACGGGCGTGACGGTGACGCGCGGCGTGACGGTATTGGCACGCCCGTCACGGGTGTCGCCGTCGCGGCCGCGCGGGGGGATGACGGCGCTCCTCGTCCTCGCCGCCGCCACCTGCCTCCAGGCCGTATCAGGTAAGAGAGTATCGTTTTTCATACGCAGCGCGGAAACCGAGGGAAAGTGTCGGATGTAACGGCCGAAAAATCGGGGCACGCATCCTAACAAGTTCCAAACGGGCGAGGTTATCTCCCGGCATCCCTCATCTCCCTCTCGCTCTCCGTCTTTTTCGCGCGTTCCTCTGACCTCCCGCTCGCACTCCCTCGCCACCCTGGCCTGCCCGGCTCTGCCCGGCGCTGGATAGTTTATTTTCCGCGGGAAGATATACGACTTCATTGTGACGAGAAACGTTGTTTAGCGGCCAAAAAGCCGACCCAAGGCGAAACGCCAGTTTCATTTTTTTCTAATTTCATTTTTTTGTCGTATCTCCGTTATCTTCTTTGGCAAGTGGGTCATGCCCATGTTGGCATGGCTTTTCGAAAAATGCGGTCACTAGTTCTGCTTATTGTGTTTTTTTATTAATGCTAATGATTCCGAGGCACGCGTTTCACGGCATTCCAGGACGGTTGTCTTTTCGCTTTGGTCGGCGTTTTCAAAATGACGAGACGCGCGAGACGCCTTTCTCCGCTCACGCCTCGATGACACCGGAAGCCAGACGCGGCGCACCCTTTAAAAAGAGTCAACAACAAAAACCTGCTTCCTTAATATCTCCCCCTTTCGCTCCCAGGAAGTCGTTGTATTATTCATGGCCGCCATGTTTTCTTTTTGAAAGGAAATAATAAAGACTGCCTGAGGGGCATCAGGTACAGGTACTAGCTGGCCTTTGCGCGGCCGGCCAACATAAACACTATCGCCAGCCAGGCCGGGCGGCGGGGCGGAGGGCGGCGGGGCGGCCGGGTGCCGTGGCACTACAAAAGGTCGCTCCTTTTTTCGTCAGAAAAAGGAAACCAGCATGCAGCATCAGAAAAAACCGTGGGAACCCTGTTCTCTTTTCCCCTGCCTCTGCATGTGTAGGTTGGAGTGGATACAATTGGGAGGGTGGAGGACTTGGCAGCCGGAGGAGGGGGCTTAGTGCTCAACCATATGCGCGGCCCCAAACAGCGTCATTTGACATTCATACAACGGGTTATTGTGACGAAGATTTGGTGCAGGCCTGCATAATAGGCGTGTGTGCGCTTCGTGCGTCTGTGTGTCAGTGTGTTTCAATGCGTGTGAGTGTGTGTGAGTGCATTTGCGACTGCAGAGCGTGCTGTGCAATGTGTTGCCGCCCTCCTAAAATGCACCACACTGCATCGCGACTACACCCTCCGCCATACTTCGGCAAAAGTTCGCCCTTGGAGTTGAGCTGGACGAGGATGAGCCGCAGTGTGTGTGTGTGTGTGTGGGGGGGGGGCGCAGGGGGTGAGTATGCGCATGTATTGGTGAGTTTGTGTATGCACATTCTTCCTCCGCGAGGGCGTGGTGGGGCGTGGCGGGTGCGATCTTATACGCTAACGTTCTGCCTCGCATGCATCCTTTGAGTGCCAAAGTGGGGCACCGGCCAGTATCCCGGCAGCCCGCCAGCGAGACCGCCCCGCCCCACGCCTCGCGTGTGCCAGCGATGCTGGCGGAGGTCGTGGTGGAGGCCCAGCAGCAGGCCGCGGCCGCTCGGCGTGTGAGCCGGAACGCCCCGGAACGCTCCGGATCGGACGGGCGGGCGGCGCATAGAATACCAACTCGCCCTTGGCGCTACCCTTGCCACGTCCCGACACTCCGACAGCCACTCGCTCCGCCGCGCTCCGCCGCGCTCCGCCGCTCTGCATGTGTGCGTGAGCGCCAAACTTGTTTTCCCTCCGACCTATCGATGACGAGACTTGACCTTCGAGGTATCGACCTCGGTGGCCGACCCCGAGACCCCGAGACCTCGAACAGTTCGTGCTGGCGGTCATCTAACGTCCCACTGGCACCGACCAACCCTTTTTTTCCTGCCGCTTTTTTTCGGCCGTGCAACTCCCCCGGGTTGTTCCACGGCACTGATGCCGTCCTGCTGGCTGCTAATGGCCGAAAAGAAAGTCGAGTGCTTGGCGTTCGGATTAGCCTGGATGTGTCAATTACGAGTAGGCCGAGGTCGCGCAGAGGCCTCGCTCATATGTTTGCTGCTTTTACAATCCGCGCCTCGTCTCCGATGCAGCGCACGCATGCCCCCTTTTTTTGGGCCTCTCCGCTCCGCTTCGTCCACCCGCCCGACCTGCGCCACACCACGAAGGCCCACCCCAGGCCACATCCGTGTCATTCATAACGATTTTACATATCATTTCCATAGGTTGCGCGGGGCGGCGCGGCCGGTGCCGGCGCGGTTTGGCGCTGCGCGTCGCGCGGCCATGCCAGGCCGTGCCAGGCCATGCCAGGCCATGCCAGGCCATGCCAGGCCATGCCAGGCCATGCCAAGCCATGCGCACAATGGTTGTCGGCAGGAAGCACGCGGCCGCGGTGTCGGCGGTCTTGGCGGCGGCCGGCGCGGCTTTGTCACATTTTCGATCATGCGTGACGGCGGCGTGACGGCGGCGTGACGGTGCTGGTGACAGGGCGGCCCGGGGATTGCGACGCGGGAAAAAATGGCGGCCCGGTCTCCATCGCTCATGTCGCGCGGCCTGCCACGGCCAGTCGACATGCAGCTTGGAAAAAACAAAACCGGCAAAGCGAGCTGCTGCGAGCGGTGCGGTGCTTTGCTGGGGAACTTGCAGGTCGAGCGCTGGCCGGTTCCTCTGTCCAAATAGCGCGCCCACCTGCGCCGCCGCCCCTCGGAAGCCCTTTGCTGAATAACTGAAAATATAGACGGACGTCCGAGCCGAGCGCTGACCCGAGCCCGGCTGGGCCGAGCACGACGTGGGCTGGCACCGAGCCGAGCCGGACCGGCCGACAGGCCTCGGGGCGCACCGTGGGCCGCCCACGGGCAGGCAGGGCCGGGCAGGCAGGGCTGGCCGCCGCTGGCCGCGCTGGCCGGGCGTTACACGAGTGGTCGGTATGTAAATCTGGCGCACATGAAAGCGCGTGATCCACTCAGCGAGGAGAGGGCCGGCCACCCGCACTGATCACGGGGTGTTTGTAATGTGTGTCTCTCTTTCTCTTTCCCTCTGTACTTCTGTCCCTCTCTGTGGCGCTGCCGACCGGGAAAAGTCTATCGCTTCATTAGTAAATAGGCGTGTTTATGATTTTATTTGTGTCCTTTGGACGGACACGGCCTGTGGCGGTAGTTTTGTTTATTCTGGTTTTAAATGAGCGCCCACATAAAGCGATGAATGAACAAAAATTTTCGTTGGTTATATTTTGCGTTTTTTTCATTTTAATTTTTAATCAATAATTTTGCTGGAAATGCATTCCAAGCTTTGAACGAGCTTCTCTCTCGCACCCGTAGCATTCCCCTCACCGGATCCACACCCCGTGTCGCAATGCCTAAAAAAAAGAAAAAAAAAAGAACGAAACAGAACACAAACACGATAAAAAGAAAATGCAACAACGACTCGCTCTCTTTTCGACAGCCATTACCATATTACACTTTGCCGTGCATGTAATGGCGGAATTACCGGTGCACATATGCGCACCACGGCTCGCTGCAGCGCTGTGTTTTTTTCTGTCCCCTTTTCTTCTCCTTCTCCTTCTTCACACGCGGCGGCCTTCATGCAGTGCGCCGCTGTCGGCGCGTTTCAGTCTGGTCGAGATAATCCGGTCTGTAAAAAGATGGCGAGGGAGGAATTGAGCGCGAGAGCCGCACTGCATCTTGAAACAGCTGTGATGACGTCGTTAACACGGCCGCGGGTTGGGCGGGGCGGGGCGGGGCGGGGCGCTGGTCCAAGCGGAGGCGGCTCTGGAGAAGTCCTCATCCTCCCCCAGTCCCGTCCCAGTGGCAAACGACCAAAGACTCCGCACTCAACTTTGAGGTTATGCGGCCTCGCCCCACCCCGGCGCGCCCCGGCCCGCCCCGGCCCGCGAGGCCCCCCGGCGCTGAGGCGAGGCGAGGCGGGGCAAGGCGTGCGTACTGACTGTCGCTCGGCTCGTGGCTTGGCTTGGCGCGGCCAAAGACAAAAGCCGCGCGCAAAGACAAATTTGGCCGTCGGAATGAAAAAAGGGAGGAGAAACAAAGGTAAAAATACAGAAAGTGTCTGCCTTTCGTTGCTTTTGTGGCACCGGGACTGCCGCGCTGCCGCGGTGAGGGCGAGACCGGCCTCGCGCCAGCGCCATTTTTGGATGCATTCAGGGCGGACGCGGCGCGACAGCGACGCGAAACAGACTGTCATGTCATCCATTTGTTTGGAGCTAATTAAGGACCGCGAGGCTAGGCGGCGTGCTAGGCAGCGGGGCGGGTCGAGCCTCTGTTTACGCGACAAGAGGGAATGACGCGATAAAAAGAATTCTCGCTTTCGTCTTCTTCACGCCTCCCTCCGAGTCTGGCTGCTGCCGCTGCCTGCTCTGCATTATTCCACTCCATCTCCGCGTGGCGTTGGAGAGCGCGCCGCGAGGAATACAAGACTTAATGGATTCGTTTCTCGCCCTTTCCGCAGGTATTCTCGGTATCTCTCGCACGATTTCCCGCGCGGTGGTACTGCCACGTGTGAAAAAAAGTGTGGTCTTGCGCACTCTCACGAAGGAAATCTTTCGCGGGAGATTCAGAAACGCAAATTACCGCCCAAGTTTCCGGAAAAAGAAATTCAATGTCCAGGTATACTTAGTTGGGTCGCCAGATTTTTTCGTTCTGTTGTCCTTTTGTGAACGCAGCAGTGACTAAGGAATGGCACGGGTGGCCTCGGTGCAGCTTTCTTACTCGACCCTGCCCCTCGGACGGTCTGGCGGTCGAAGTCGCGCCCCGAGTTGTCAGTTCGGTGCGCTGGGAGAGGGACCCTGTAGGGTCGGGTCGGGTCGGGTCGGGTCGGTTCTGGGTCGGGTCTGCTGGACTCGCTCGCCCCGACCCAGCGACCGGATGCGCCATGCGCCTCACTTCCCGATCGGGCCATGGACGCGCTGCGGCGCGCCGTGTGCACCGTCAGAATCTTTCCGGGCTCCTCCGGGTTCCTCTGGCGCTGCCCGGCCGGCCGGCCCGGAG